AGACCAAAACATAAAGGGAAGAAAACTGTGGACATCCTGCAACTCTTTCTCTTAGGCAAAGCCAGTTGGGCTGCAACATGTTGCTGAGTTAGTATTGTAACATCAGTTTTAAAATAATCTCATACTAGACCTGACTTCTGAAAAACAAAACCAATGTTCTATTTCTCCAGGTTAGGTATCTTGCTTTTTGGATAGCCATCTTTTCACATAGCTTTCCTTTGGACATACTTTTTATTTTGCAGAGCCACGAAGAGAAAACAAAACCTCTTCTGAAACAGGATGCCACTGTCAGGGTGAGTTGGTGGTATCTCAGGCCCTGGAAGCAAGGGGTATAGAAGTTAATTCATGCTGATGGTCACATACTGTGCATAGAAGTTGTAGGGAACTACACTATATACAACATGCTGAAGAAAGGAAGCATCTATTAATGTATGACTTCAATAGAACAGGACAGGAGAACAATTAAAATATTAACCCAGAGCAACTCTGGTTGGATTTTGGGCTTAGTATGGAAGAAAATCTCAACTGAATTACAAAAATAGATTATTTAAAGGTCTGTCAGACAACACAGGCATATCAATTTTGCCAAGAAAAATGCAACTTTAGCCTCAGTTCCCAACAAGACTGTCTCACTAATTTTTTATTAGCTTAAGGTACTACTTGGTAAAAATCAGTGTTCTAGGGAACCCTCATGATGAATAAGCAATGCACACAAAAAGCTGCTTGTCAGCTACACTGGAAATTACCCAAAAGCAATTCTATACCTGAGAAAACAAAAGGTAAAGAGCAATAAATTACATCTTAACCAAACACACATCACAAGACCACATTTAGGCAGAGGAGACAAAGATTTCCTCTAGATCTTGGGCACAGGCAGTCTCTGCACCGTTCACCCTCTACTCTACACCCTAGCTGAGCCTCTTAGAAGCAGCATAAGCAGTACGTCTTGTGAGACGGCAAACAGCTAAGTTAGACCGAGATTTGGCCTTCAGAAATCCATTCCAGGCATAGACTCATTCTTTCCCCAGGTATTTTGCCTAGAGGCAGAGTTCTAAGAGTACCCTATATGACATATAAGTACCTGTATTTCTCTATTCTCACTTCCAGATATTGGCTGTGGAACCCTGAATATAGCAGAAGACAGCAAGGAGTTAAATTCACATGTGTTATGTGAGATCTAAAAATTGTTGAACTGCTAGGAGTTACGTTTTACCAGGTCTTTTTGTATTGTGCAAGAAAAGGGGGTTTGGGAAGCAAGTAAAATAGTTCTGCTAGATGCTAGCAGAGAGAGGATACAAAAATGAGGTTGAAAGAAATAGGCCTATAAATCTGACATCCAGTGCCCTGGTCCTGTAATGTGATCTGCAACAAGACCGATTGATTTCAGCAGGTCCCATACATACCCGAGCACCTGTCACACATGGCCCCTGGCAGGGCTGGGGCTTGCAGTGCTCCAACAACATGGTCTTGTTTGGAACAACTGAAATGCACACTGTGCAAGAGGGAGTGCAGATTTCCAAAGTACTTTTTGCAAGGAAACATTCTCATGGACCGTTTCAATTTCTTATGTTTTCACAATGCATTTGTTGTTGCCTCACTACCATCATTTCCTCCAGACCACCTATTTATGTGCCACACAATGAGTGGGCCTTGCACAAACACATACTTCTGACTTCCAGCAAAGTTGCCAAAAACATTCTTCAAAGTTTATTGAATAACATTCCTAAGTAACATTCCCTGATTATCTGAATAACTGAATGAAATCACTTTCACAATTATCTGCTTCAGTAGTGAAATAGAAGAGATTATATATTTTTAATTTTTTTCTTGCTTTTTTAAATTTTGCAATTACTATGATGAGCTGCAGTTTTCTAGCAGCATCAATAGGTGGTGCTATCAATTTCCATAATGGTCCACTATAACTTCAGTTGGTAAAGAAAAGATGAGGTAATGGCGTGATATTTAAGCTTTCAGAAGCTGAACATGCCCATCAATAAAGGCTGCAGTTCTTTGTTAAGGCATGTTAGCAAATCTTCTCAGCAAGATCTAAAATTAATGTGTAAAAACAAAATCACCACTCCTTTTACTCTCCCCAAGGTATCAGCAAGCTCTTAAAAATGTTGCCAAATTGTCAGAGGTACTGGGATTTGGATGGGCAACTAACTTCATACGCTGGATGCAAAAGAACTTCACCTTTCATAAGTAAAAATGGAAAATGTAATATTTTCAAATTATATGTCTAAATGATAGTCAAAGTAAAATTGTGCTTCAATTTAACTTTTAAATCCATGTATTTTCAAATATACTTTATAATACATTGTGGATAAATTATATTCTAAAAGGAAACAGGTAAGTCGGTAAGTAAAGCATTATCCTGGTGGATACATCTAAACTGCTATTAGAATTATGTCCAGGAAAAAAAATAGTGAATAGTGGAAAATAGTGTATTTTCCAAAATATAGGCACTTATTGGGTTGATGAGTTCATTTATAAACCATGCCCTTCTGAAATCATTACCTTTCTGCTATGCTATATATTTACATCCACTGACTTACATATTCTAAATATAGTAAGCAAGCCATTATGACCTTCTCCTAATTGAACAAGACAGACAGGAGTGTGTGTTACAGTACATCTATATCTGGGGGAGAGAGAGAATGTGCACACAAGACAGCGTGGGTAATGAGATCTTCTCTGCTATTACAAGCAACCTATGGCTCTGGGGCGCCCAGTGCTCACGGCTACTTACAGAATTCAAAAACGGCTCAGTTGAGTTTTCCATCAGTCTTTATCTGAGAGGTGACCTGTTATGTCCCGATGGCTAGTGCCGTTTCGTTCCTGTGCCTTAACTAGCTCACAGCAAAGAGACTGCATCACCCCTGCCAGCCTTTAGCCCTAGCCAAGATGAAAACACTCATTTGGTCAGGCTTAGCTATGATCCAGTTTATGGCCATTCCTTTGTTCCCAATGTTCAAGTGAAGAGGGTTAATTACTTCCCTTTGTTGCAATTAACGATGCTAAACGCCAGGGAAAGAGGAGAGCTAAAAGCATGAATTACATGTTCCAAGCAACATTCTGGCATTAAAAAAGCATTCTTCTGGCAAGACAAAAAATTTTAATTTCCTGTGTTTAAAAAAAAAAAAAAAAAAAAAAAATAAAAAAAAAAAAAGAGAGAGAGAGAGAGAAAAAGAAAGCCCGATAGCCAACAAAAGTTTTTTACTAAATTTTACACATATATATCTAGCAGAATAACAGTTTCCTACATTTTTCATTAAATATCCCATCTGTTCCTGTCTTTTTCCGTGT